CCATCCATCCATCCACCCACCCATCCATCCATCTTTCCATCCATCCATCCACCCACCCATCCATCCATCTTTCCATCCATCCATCCACCCACCCATCCATCCATCTTTCCATCCATCCATCCACCCACCCATCCATCCATCTTTCCATCCATCCATCCACCCACCCATCCATCTTACCTATCTCTCTATCCATTTATCTATCTACCACCCACCTCTCCACCCATCCATCCACCAATTTACCCATCTACCCATCTAGCCACCCATACATCTATCTCATTACTTACCCATCTTCTATCCCATCTACACACTAAATATCTTCTGAGATCCTCCCCAATGTTAGAGCTGCTCTAAGTCACTCCATGGTGATACTTTTCTCAGGCCCATTTAAAAATAAGTTGGTAAGACAAGAGCAGTATGGAGATGAGAGTATGTCCTCGACTTGGAGTCAAGAGACGAGAGTTGGAGCCCAGCCTCTGTCTCACCCTGTGATCTTAGGCAACATTTTATGTTTTCTGAGGAACAGAAGGCAAATTTTCAAGACCTCGGTTGAGTCTTTAATGACATAATTCTAAGCCAAGTCGAGTAGCTGTTGTATGTAGTGGGTAGTGTTGAGACTCCAGGAAAATGGAACTTAAAACATGCCCTCAAAATGTGATTTCTGTACCTGACACCACAGCCAAATCAGAGAATCCATAGAAAATGATGTGTGTGTGTGTGTGTATGTGTGTGTGTATGTGTGTGTGTGTATGTGCATATATGTGTTGGGTGTATGTATGACACACATGTGTGTGTATGTGTATTAGTGTGTGTGCATGAACATGTGTGTGTGGTGTGGTATGTGTGCATATATGTGTGTGTGCACATGTACATGTGTTGTGTATCTATGTATGTGGTGTGTATAGCGTGCCCATGTCCATGTGGTATGTATGCATGTCCATTTACATACATGTGTGGTGGTATATGTGTATGTACATATGCATATATGTATATGTGTGGTATGTGTCCGTGCATGTGTGTGGTGTGGGTGTCCATGTGCGTGTGTGTTATATGCATGTCCATTTACATGTGTGTGGAATGTGTGTATGTGAGTATGTACCTGTGTATATAAGAATGTGTGTGGGATGTGTATATGTATGTCCTGTAAATGTGTGTGGTTTGTGTGCATGTGCACATGTGTATATTCATGTGTGTATGTGCATGTACATATGTGTGTACATGCATGTATATGTATGTGTATGGTGTGTATATGTGTGCGTGCCTATACAAGTCTATGCATTTTCCAAGGAAAACCATTAATGCTAATGATCATTGACTACTCTGATGCTAAGATCCTTACAGGACTTCAGTATGCCCACTTCACAATCGAGGAAACTGAGGCCTAGGGAGTTACAGGTATCTGCTCAAAGTCACAGGGGTGTAGGCGTTAGGGCTGGGACTTGAACTTTGGTGTGGAGCCCTAGTCATGATATTGATTGTCCCTTTGCACTTTACATTGGGGTCGTGTGGCTTGGTTCACTCATACTCAAGCTAGATTCCTCCCTGTGCTTCTAGGACCCATCACCCAGTGGCCCATCAATTAGGAATTGTGAGTGGACCTGAACTCACTCCCAAATGCACTGCTAATCAAGAGAATCACATATAGAAACTCTCTCAGTTATCACCTGGTCTCTTTGCTATATGACTGTAGCAGACTGTGCCTAAGAGAGGTGAAGTACTTAAGTTTATAGTGAAGTAATGACATGCTCCGGGTTGCCACTGAAGCATCCCTGCACTCACACTTGCCCTCTGGAAAAGGAAGTGTTAAGTATTCTGGCAGAGGGATGTTTTGACAGGCTGATGCTGTGTTCTTCACAATCTCTAGAGGAGAAGCCATAACAGCCGTTGGAAACATGCAGGAACCAACACATAATGAAATTAGCTTCATTGCCCATGAAGCCAGCCACACTGTCCAATCAGGATGCAAATGAAAGCAAGGGAAGGCCCTCTGCCTTGTGAAGAACTCTCCCTTCGTGTCTGAGCAATTTGTAGCCCTCAGCACTCAGCATTTTATTTCTCCACCCCTGGGCACAGTTTCCAGAAAAGGGGCCATTTACGTTTAGTGTACAGATGGACTGATTTGGTTTTACATCCTCATGACCACCCAGTCTTTTCTCCCCACAGCCTCCCCGTGACTGCATCCCTCCCTCCCCTGGAGTGGCCACTCTCCAATCAGTCAGGCTCCTATGAGCTGCGGATCGAGGTCCAGCCCAAACCCCATCACCGGGCCCACTATGAGACGGAGGGCAGCCGTGGTGCAGTCAAAGCCCCCACAGGAGGCCACCCTGTGGTGCAGGTATGGACCCAGATTCTCTTATTTCTGTGCCCTACGCTTGTCACTAGGAGATTCGTTTTGCCTTCATCTCCTTCCTCCTTGGAAGGAGAGAAACCTGAGATGTTGTGAGTGGAGAACTGCAGTCTGGTGGACGTCTCCAGAGCGGGCTGAGGGGACATGGCGTCATGTGGAAGGTGGTCCTTCCTTTCCTTTATGATGGGGAGATTGCTAGGACTCCGCAGAGCTGTTAGAACTGTGAGCGTTTCTGCTTGCTCTTTCCTGATCGACATCCTTTGTGGCTGTGTCTCGGAGGTAAACCAGGGATTTGTTCAAGGACAGAAGTGTGCTTTTTCTCCCCTCCAAAATAGTTGAATTGAAACATCCTTCAAATTATATAATCTGGTTAATACAGAAGTACCACAGTTGTCTAGGTTCTGGCTGGCGAACCCACACAGTTCAATTAGCCAGAATCTTCTGTACATTTAAGTTATTGTAACCTGGGCGTGGCGTTCATAAGCACCCTTGGGGGCAGAGATTCTTAAAAATGCAGATTTTTGCCAGGCTTGGTGGTTCAGGAGGCAGAGGCAGGTTCCAGGCCAGCCAAGACTACCCTGTATTCAAACAACAATAACAACAACAACAACAACAACAACAAAAACCAGACAAAAAAGACGCTTCCTTAGAAAGTATAAAACAGGAGTAGAGACCAGATGAACAGAACCCCCAAACACGATAATTCTCCTCAAGTTCAATGGGTGTGTTTCCCTAGTTTAGGACTCCTAAATGTGATCAAAGCACTTGATACACAGGCATGACAAAGCCATAATGAAGCCATTGTTCTGTACAATTAATATATTATGTGCCAAAAGAAAGGAAAAAAAAAAAAGGAAAGAAAAGTCCCTGGACAGCCTGTGCTCTGACCTGGCAGCCCTCAGTTTCTTTCTATCCCCAGCCCCTGACCTCACCTCTCTATTTTTTTATATCTTGTATTGTTACTGCTCTGACATGGTGCTGACATGTAGACTGGCACACTCTGGGATTTTTCCTCTAAGGTGGTCGGCCCAAGTACTGGCTGAGCACATGTCGCGATCGCATAGCTGCCTGGTTAGGGGGCATCATCTGTGGGAAGCCTCTGTTGTTTCTCAATGCCCGGGGGCCACCCTGGGCCATCTGCTCAGGGTGGATCTAGGTGAGCACTGGCTTTGGGTAGGGGAGCACTGACTCCAAGATGACTGACAGGTCACTACACCCTGATGAGCTGGGGAGCTGAGCTGCCAATGCTATTCTCCTTGCAGCCCCGTAAGTCCCCATCCCAGTCACCCTCTGTGCTTGCACAGCCCTTGGCCAAGGCCTTGCGGCTCCTGGGAGATAGCCTTCTATCCCACGTCTCTCCTACGGATTCCAGCTGCAGCAGCCAGGGGGGCTGAAGTCTATCCTATCATCTCGTCGGGCTCCACACTGTTTGATTTCTAGTCCCAGGCCTGGAGGGAAAGCACACATGTACCCTCCAGCCTCATGGGCAGCCCGGCCCTGAGGACCACAGTCTGCTTGCTATGTGTTGTCATCTCTCACAGTCGTTGGTCTTGTGACCTTTCGTCTTGAGTCTTTGTGGTGGGAGGGCTGTTCAGTTACCAGCTGTTTCAACACACCTGAGACAACTTTTTTTTTTTTTTTAAGTCTTCTGTTATCATTGACAAGGCTTAGCTGTGAGGGGCTAGGACCAAGGCCTGATGGTTTCTGGGAGACTGGGTCCTGATAGAGAAACTCACTGAAGGGAGGTGGGGAGAAGGGGCAGTCAGAGGAGGACAGGAGGGTTGACCAGAATGCCTGGTGCAAGATGGGAAGCAAGTGGATTCCCGGCTCAAGCGTTTGTGGCACTTACCCTGCATCCATGCCGTCTGCCGGCTTTGCCTCTGAACACGGGAAGAATAAGGAGCTGAGTGCCCCTTTGTGAGGGAGAGATGTGTGTGAAACAGCCGTGAGTGCAGATGTGGCAGAGGTCAGTGGGGCTCTCTGGGGATGGGGATGGGGACACTGCGGGTTGGGGACAGCTTGTGCCCAGGAGCCTAGGAGCCCAGGAGGAAGGGCACTTGAGAGGAACAGAAGTAGGCTGGTGTAACTGGAGCATGAGTGACCAGGGCAGGCAGGGGCCAGGCCGTGGTATGGGGTGAGGCGCTGGGGTGGGGGCGGGAAGGAGACACAGAAGACTCAGGCTCTCACTGTCCATGAGGAGCAAGAGCTGAGCGGAAGAAGGGAGCTGGGAGACCCCTTCAAAGGGCTCTGTACTTCCTGGCACGTGAGCTCTGTTCACTCACTGGCCCTTTAGTGTGTATTTATTGAGCACCTGCTATGTTCCAGGCAAGGTTCTAGGTTCTGAGTGTGACAGAGACCCAACAGCCAGATTTTACAGCTTACACGATGATGGGCATTTCTGAAGCAGTTACCATGCACAAGACCCCATTACATTTTTATCAGGGTGGGGTCTCAAGGTCACTGCTCTTTAAGGACAGAGTTCTAGCTGCTTAAGTGCCTTGCTTGTCACCCACATGTCCATGGATGTCTCAGCCTGACTTCCCACTCCTGGAGAAAGCTGGTACCCATGCTTCCTGCCTACACTCTCCTCATAGCATCACCTACTCTCCTGGCTGTGACACTCTTGCCCGCTCATGGAGCCCTGAAAATTCTGACTGACTCTGGCCAGAGAGGGTCACACCACCCCTGAATGCAGTTGACTGAGGCTTGTGGCTGAGAGGCCATGTGAGGAGCTGTCCTCAGAAATAAGAGCAGATGTGATAGTGGCCCAGATCAAGAGACAGACAGAGGAAGCCTCTGGCCTGAGGAGAGGCTCTGCGGCTCTCCCGGGATCACAGAGGGCTGCACTCTAGCTCTCAGTGAGGCCTTCTCACCATTCATCTAGGGCTGGGCCATGGAAAGTTCCAGAAAGGGAGTGGGCTGGATATTGAGTCCAGAGGAAGCCTGTCATTCTGCCCCCAAAGTTCACATCCCTCCTCTGGCCTGTGACTTTGAAAGCCCCGCGTGAGCTTGCAGAGGCTGTTGTCTGTTCATTTTCTTCAAAAGACACTAGGTGGATGATTATTTAAAACTGTATCGAATGGACTGTGCTCACTGTAGTCTGAAATGTGGGACACCCAAGTTTTAGCATGGGAAGCAGATCTTAGCTGGGATCTCTGTGGCTGGGATGTGGCTCCTTTGGTAGAAGGGAAGCTCGGCCCCAGCCTCAGCGCGGCATCAGTGGGCATGGTGGTGCAAGCCTGCAGTCCTGGCATTTCTGTTGGATCTAGATTCAAGAATTCTGGAGGAAGCATGGGCTCTCTCAGGACTTTGTCATATAACCCTGGCTGCCCCCACATTTCCCAAGCACCTGTCCAGGTGGCAGGTGGTTCCCCCTGTCAGGAGGCTAGGGAAGCCAGCAAGCTGTCACTGCTGGAAGCCTCTAGGGTCATTTGTTGAATTTCAGCCTGCCTTTCGCTCTGAAGCCGTGCAGGAGGAGGGAGAAAAGCCAGCTGGGTTCCCCTTCCCAGTGAGGTTAGGGAACACTGCCCCTCAGGCAGCCGCTTGTGTGGTCTTCTCCGATAACTTCGTGAGCTCAGGACTCCCGGCTTCCTTTTTAGATGTGTGACAGGAAGCCAGTCTTGCCGGTGGTCATTTGTTGGGGTAGAACTAGTGTGCTGGCATCTGTGGAGGCTCATGGGGCCCTGGGCGTGAGGGGAGGGGAGGACGGTGGGCTCGGCTGGGTGGGGGAGGGCAGTGGATGGGCTCCCCTGACTGAGACTTCAGAAAGGAAGAGCCTAGGGGCAGAGGGGATGCCCTGAGGTGGCTGGGGACTCTTTGTTCATAAGTTCTTTAATCTCTGTCCCCACAGAGATGACCCAAATGACAGACCTGATAAAAAGAAAAGTGGTGAGATGGCTTGGCAGGTGTTTGCAGCCAGGCCTGACTGCCCAAGTGCCGTTTCTTAGACCCACGTGTTAGAAGGAGAGGAATGATTTCCAGAAACTGTCCTCTGTCCCCCATATGCACCCCATGGCACATTTTCCTGGTTGGGCTAACCAGAGCTAGGATCCTGGTTTGCTGTCTGTGTAAGGTGACGCCACCCTGTCCATCCACGCAGACTCTCCTTTATTTTCTGTGTATGTGGGAGGCAGCTTGCATGTGACTTGATCCAACCCTTTTTCAGAAGATAAGGATGGGGCAAGGTAGGGTGGGGCAGTGTGTGAACGCAGAGTCCCTGTTAGAAGCCTCCCCTGTGTCCTGCCCTCTGTCCTCTCGTCTGTTCCAGTCCCCTCGTGTGGCATTAGTAGTTTAATCAAACATTTATCGAGTGCACAGCCCAAGCCGTGGGCATCTGCGGGCCGCCTGTGGCTGTGTGACCTGCCTGGGGGCTGACACATGTAAGGTGAGCAGAAGAGGGAGCAGCACAGCCCAGCTGCAGACACCAAGGTGATGGAGTCGTGGTGTGGGCTCAGTTTCTCCCTCCCCAGGGGAGGAGGGCTGTGGCTTGAGGGCTTCAGCTCTAGACAGAGCATAGAGGCTTCCAGCATGTTGGAGAAGCCATTGTTTCCCAAAGTGGGGAAGTAGAAGGCATTGGTCTCAGGCTCTCAGGCTCTCGCTGAGCATGTGTGTCGTCCTAAGAGTGACACTATGCACTTTCCTCAGTGACCTATTTAGTCTGCGGTGACACCCCGGAGCATAGGTGGTAGGATTACTGTACTCATTTTACAGACAGCAGAACTGGGGCACAGCACTGCGGCCACTTGACTGATGCCAGCCAGGCTCTGGCGATGGCTAGATGTGAGCATGCGCGAGCAGTCACCTAGGGCTGTGCTGTTGACTGGGAGGATAAAGGAGGCAGGGGGTGGGGGGTGGGGGTTCTAGCTCTTGCTGGCTCTGGGGTGTTGGGTGTAACTTATGGGGGGCTTAATCTTTCAGACTTGTTTGGTCTTGTCAAGAGCCGTCGGGACGTGGGGCTGGGATGTGCTTGCCTGGAGGACGGGAGGCCC